CATTCAAATTTTAGAATAGAACTACAGATATATTTTAGCAGTTTACTAGTATCAAGATCATTTCAATAGACTTAAGTGACCTTTAAAGAAGAGGGAAAAGTGAGGGTGTCAAAATGTTTTCCTTTTTTTTTTTTTTTTTAAGGTTTTTGCTATAGGGAGTGTGCACTCGCCAGAAAGACAGAGGAAGACAGAAAGCGAAAAATCACCCTCCTGAGGGGATGGCCACACCACAATCCCTTCTACTCCATTCTCTTCTCTGGATCTTGGGAATACATGCACACGCGCACGGCATGAGTTTAAGCTGCCAGATCTGGGACTTGAACCATGGTTGACTACATGGGAGTCCAGCAACACAGCCATTACGCCAACTGCTGGTCCCCAACATGTTTTCTTTTTCTTTTTTTTTTTTTTTTTTGGAGAGGTTTTCACTACAGGGCGTGTGTGCTCGCCAGACAGAGAGAGACATAGAGACAGAAAGCAAGAAATCACCCCCCAGAGGGGATGGTCACGCCGCAATCCCTTCTCCTCCATTCCCCTCTTGGGATCTTGGGCACGCACGCACACGCACCCGGCGTAAGTTTTAAGCCACCGGGGCCGGGACGCGAACCGCGGTCGACTACGTGGGAATCCAGCGACATAACCATTACGCTAACTGCTGGTTCCCCCAAAATGTTTTCTTAATACATATGAAGAATATTTATTCTGAGATAAATATCATTATACACTTTCAAATATCTTTAAGTTCCTATGCTGAATTTTCATTTTGTAATTGTTCTTAGGCAACATTCTCATATTCAAAAGTATCATAATTTCCTTTAAATTCATTGTTTTGTTTTGTTGTTGTTGTTTTGTTTTTTTTTTTTTTTGGAGAGATTTTCACTATAGGGCGCGTGCGCTCGCCAGACAGACAGAGAGAGACATTAGAGACAGAAAGCGAGAAATCACCCCCCAGGGGGGATGGTCACGCCGCAATCCCTTCTCCTCCATTCTCCTCTCGGGATCTTGGGCACGCACGCACACGTGCCCAGCGTGAGTTTTAAGCCACCGGGTCCGGGACACGAACCGCGGTCGACTACGTGGGAGTCCAGCGATATAGCCATTACGCTAACTGCTGGTTCCCTAAATTCATTGTTTTCAAGCAGACTTCATTTAAATTTTTAACCTGCACTACTACCAAAACATATGGGACAAGAGTTTAGAGAACAAAACAAAAACAAACAAACAAAAAGGCAAAGAAAAGAAAGCATAGGGCCAGCCATGGTATGGTGATTGAGATGGCTGGATCCCACATGGACGATTCCATGGTTCAAGTCCCAGACCAGGGAGCTTGAAAGACATGCTGGGTACATTTGCATGTGTACCCAAAAATCCCCAGAGGAGAATGGAGGAGAAAGGACTGTGATGAGGTCATCCCCACTGGAAGGTGATTTCTCACTTTTCCTCTCTCTCTCTTTTGGTCTTTCCAATGAGCATATGCACCATATAGCAAAAAAAAAAAAAAGAAAAGAAAAAGAAAAAAATTAAAGAAAAGAAAGTAGAAATAAGCAGGAGGAAACATGAAAACATTCATCTACTACATCAGCAAGAGTATAAGGTACTCTCCTCTGAACTGAAATGTCATAGCTCACTAGGAACAATAACAAGGAGGCCAGTGTATTATAACTTTTAAAATATTAGATTGTACAACACAAGAAATGAGAAGACAGAGACAGCCATGAACAAGACTCACAGCTGGAAGTTTCCTGAAAGAGATGGCATTTAAGCCAGCATTTGGAGTTGAGGTAGAGGGATTTGAGTCAGCAGCAAAGTGGGAAAAGGGCATCCCAAGTCAAGAGGAACAAAGACCTTCAAATGAAATAAAGCAATGTCTTGGACAAGAGTTAGAAAGAAATGACTGATTATAATTAAAGGCTTTTTATAGCAATGTTAACACCTTTTTTCCACTGGACTGTGGATTATTATCTGTATTTTACTATTTAATATTATTATTATTACCCACATGTAATAGGATAGTAAACTGAGACACAGAACAGCTAAGTGTCTTGCCCACGGCCACATGATTATTTTATGAGGAGAATGCAGCACTCCTTCCACTCTGCCGCCCTTACTCACCCCAGGGAACATGTGAGGAAGGACAGCACAGTAGGGCAAGGATATGGAAAAGACTTAATCCATCTGCAAGAGGCTTGAGTATGTGGATGAAGTGATGACAATACTGTTTCAATAGTATTAATCTTGCTGCTGTGAACAAAACAAATCTTAATTGACATAGTGCTGAGCCAAGAAAAGCACTTCACAAGCTGGTGAGGTAATCCATGAGAAAAGTGTTGAAAGCCCAGGCGAGGGTGGCTACAGTGGGACAGAAAGAAACAAATACAAAAAATATGACAAAGAAAAAAAAAAACAAAATTTGATGAAGGAGATAAAGTAGTTTAAAATCGTCTTTCTGTCTGGCAGCAGCCGTCAGGTAAGCCAAGATGGGTGCCTACAAGTACATTCAGGAGCTACGGAGGAAGCAGCAGTTCAATGGGACTCACTCAGCCAGACAAAGTATGCAGATTGTGATATAAGCCAAAGCAAGGTTATGTCATATATAGGATTATGTGTGTCATGGAGGCCACAAACACCCAGTCCCCAAGGATGCAGCCTGTCCCTCATGGTGCTAACCAGCTGAAGTTTGCTGGAAGCCTCCAGTCTTGCAGAGGAGTGAGCTGGACGCCACTGAGGGGCCCTTAAGAGATCTGAGGGCCCCTTGTTACTGGGTTGGTGAAGATTCAACATACAGATTCTCTGAGGTTATCCTCACTGATCCATTCTACAAAGTTGTCAGAAGAAACTCTAACACCCAATGGATCACCAAAGCAATCCATAAGCACAGGGGATGTGTGGACTGACATCTGCAGGTCGCAAGAGCTATGGCCTTAGAAAGGGTCACAAGTTTGGGACCAGCAGTTAGCATAATGGCTACGTCGCTTGACTCCCACATAGTCGACCGCGGTTCGAGTCCCGGACCCGGTGGCTTAAAACTCACGCCGGGTGTGTGTGTATTCTTGCCCAAGATCCCAAGAGGAGAATGGAGGAGAAGGGATTGTGGCATGGCCATCCCCCTGGGGGGTGATTTCTCACTTTCTGTCTCTCTGTCTCTCTCTTTCTGGTGAGCACACATGCCCTATAGCAAAACCCTCTCAAAAAGAAAACAAAAAAGAAAAAAAGAAAGGGCCACAAATTTCACCACACTATTAGTGGTTCTCCCCATACAGTTTGGAGAAGGCACAATACTCTCCAACTCCATCATTACCGCTACTATAAGAAATGTTTGTGAAATTCATACCTAATAAATAATTTAGGACAGTCTTGTCTGCTTATAAGTGTTATATGTCTGTTAAACTAATCTACAGATTGTTTCATGAATCCTTTTCAAATTATGAAAGTTCCAAGTGCAATAATGTTTGAGGACTATAAATGATAGTGTATCTTATTTCTAATAACATAAGCTTTTTTCTTATTAGAGAGTTATCTTATCTTATTAGAGAGTTACATGTAGGTGTTTAAAACATCATGCATAGTATACTAGGTATAAAATAAATGCTTTCGGGGCTGGCAGGTGGCATGGTGGTTGGGGGTGCTGGACTCCCACATGGCCGACTGCAGGTTGAGTCCCAGACCTGGCGGCTTGCTTTCTCACTTTCTCTCTCTCTCTTTCACTCTTTTGCTCTCAGGTCAAATTAAGATAAGTAAATAAATAGTTAAATAAAAATAATTCTTAAAAAATAAATAAATTATTCAAAATGGCGGGGGGGAAGAAGTTTAAGATGAAAGCATCAGATAAAAACAGGTAGCATGGTTTATCACGAAATTATCAGACTCAACACCTTCCCCCTTACTCTCCTTCCTGGGCATTTTCTCCTTCTCACTACCCATTTTCCAGTTTCTAACTCTATCATTTCATTTATTCATTCATTCATATTTGGCAGGCCTACACTGAGCTGGATAGTCGGTTTAGCTCTTAAAAACATATCACAGGTACAGAAATGCAATAGCAAAATTAATTAATTGTTTACTCTACTATGCCGGATACTATTCTAAATGTTTTATATTAACTCAGTTGACTCCCACCACAATTCTATAGGGTAAGCAAAGTTATCATATACTTTAAAGAGAGGAGTAAACTGAGGCAAAGTTACACAATTAGTAGGTGTTAGAACCTGGACTACAGTCAGACCCAAGCAGTCTCACTCCAGAAGCCACCCAACTAAATTACTCTGCCGTACTATCCTCAAAAACCTTTAAGCAGTTTCCATATTTTTGTAGCTTCCATCACAGCACAGTCTTAGAAGTTTCAGAAAAATTGTGTGATGTAAGTGTATCAGAAGATTTTAGATCCCTAGAATTTAGAAGTTTGCCGATGAGAAGACATGGACCTTATTGATAATGCCCTAATCACTCGGCTGTATGGGGAGGAGCGTGCCATTGACTCTGTGAGGAATAATCACAAAGGCACATGAAGCAGCTTGCACAAATTCACAGCCTGACTTTCAAACTTTATTTAAAAAACAATAGAAAATTATAAACATTTATCTCATCGACCTTCCCATCTTGAGGCATAATCACACTGTCCTTCTGAAACTTCCTAAATTATTTCTTGCATTTCAATTACTCAGTCAGAGAAAGAAATTTGCATACACACAAAAAAGTTGCAGCTATTTAATTCAAAAGAGGATTTTCACTTGAAGCAAAATAAGGAAGAAATAGAAAAGATCTGAATCCCAACAGTGAAACCTGTCAAGCTAAGAGCTGAATGAACACATGCTTCTAGAGTCCCAGTCAAATTAACCCCATGAGAATAGCACCCATATTCATCTAACCAGGACTCAAAACTCAGAAGCAATTAAGAAGCAGCTGATAAACTAGACCACATGAAAAGAGCATGCAATTAGCAAAGTGATCAATTCTGATATCAGGTACATATCATGGGTTGCCCAACCACTACCCTATCAAACCTGTCCCCTGGAAGGATGCCAATGACTTCTAATTGCTTTCTTCAATCCACTTTCTTCTTGATCACATCGTCTTTTCTGGGTTCTCTCCTCCCTTGGTTTCAATTATCTTCTTCCCCTTGCACTCCAGACCTAGGTGTCCTGTAATTAGCAGTAGTATCATTATTATTCCCTAACGCCTCTTCTTCTCAACCCCTGATGTGGCTGTCCTCAAAAGTTCAAGATTAGACCTCTGCTCATTTCTCCCTAAATTCCTTCCCTTAGGAATCCTAACCACTCCCAATGTCTACTACTCTGAACTTTCCCCTTAATGGCAGCCCTATGACTACTTAAAAAAAGGGGGAAGGGGACTAGTAAATGGTGTAATGGTTACGGCACTGGACTCCCACGTAGTTGACAATGGTTAGAGTCTTGGACCTGGCAGCTTAAAAAAACTCACACCAAGCACATGTGCATGTATGCCCCAAATCCCAAGAGGAGAATGGAGGAGACAAGATTGTGGCATGACCATCCTTCATGGTGGGGGAGTGACTTCTCACTTTCTGTCTCTGTGTCTCTCTCTGTATCTCTGGCAACCGCATGCACCCATAGCAAAAATCTCTCTAAATAAATAAATATTTAAATTTTAAAATTTTTAAACAAATATCCAGTTATTACCTCAAATTCACATGTCAAACCTTCCTTACAACTTGCCTTCATTATTTTATCACATTCACATTCACTTACTGCTAAAACCCCTCTCTGAACTCCCTCAGCACCCTGATCATGCCTCAGTCATGGAGCCAAGATTACACCAGTAATGATCCCTGATTCACAGGCATATTTGTTTGCCTCTCCAAGTACTCGTTCAGGAAGAGAAACTGATCTTAGCCACTTATGTAACCTGTATTGCAGGTGCTCAATAAAACCTGTTACAGGAATTAATAAATTTAAAAATATGGGCAATCTGTTCCAACCAAACTGGTCCATTTAGAGTCTCCACCTACTTGGCATTTTCACAGTTCCCACTTCCCAGAATGGTCCTCTCTCCACTATAGTACACACAAAATAAATGCTACCCATCCTTCACAAGACTCAATTTAAATGTCACCTGCATGAAACTCTGTCAGAGGGCTCTCTTCCAACATGAACCCCTGACTCATTAGTCTTACAATATCATTTCTGGGTCATGAAAATTGCCATCTTTGTAGCTATCACACCAGATTCAAAAGCAGGTCTTAACATAAACTAACTTGCTACTCTGGACAAATTTCTAATAATAATAGCACCTACCTTAAGGAATTTGGGGGAAGATTATAGAAAAGTACCCATCTAGAAAATGCAGATGCTCAGGAAATGTTACAACTTTCTCTCCACACCCCAACTATTCACCATCATTCACATTTGCATAGCACTTCAAGTTATCAGTATATATACTGTCTTCTCAAATAGACTGTAAGGACTGGGTAAAATACTTAAGGACAGGAGCTAAACCTCATTCACCTTTCTATCTTATAAACATCTACCAATGTGCTTTACATAGAGACACAATAAAAGCTGAGAACATGTAATGAACATGCAATGGAATTTCAGTTAGAGTAGACTGTGGCAATCAAACAAAAAGGGTGCCAGACTAGAATAATAAATTTTCATTCGATTTAGCTGTAAAACTATTACATGGCATCTCTGTCATTTCACTCATGCCAAAGGCTGATTTCAACAAATGACAGTGTAAATAGACAAATTAATTTCTAAAGTATACAAGTTAATAGGCAATCCTTGGTAGTAACATTAAAGATGGCTTAAATTTAATGTTACCGTGTCAGAAAACTCTCTATATCTGTATTTCTTTTCCATGTACTTTTAAGCAAAGGTTTCTTTTCACATGGTATTTTACTTAACCTGACTATAACAAAGATCTTTTCATACCACTTGTTAATTAATTGAAACTGAATTGAAATTTTTATATTTTCCACTGAGACAAAAAATTATAGGTTAATACTAGAGCAAAACTGATAAGATCAAGATTCAAAATCTGTGATAATTACAGGTAAAATTAACCAAAATGTCTCTTTAATTTTTTTTTTCTTTCCAAATAGCTTTCATTAATATCAAGGTTTCAGCATCCTCTCTAAAATGATGGAATTTTTTTCTATCCTGATTTATCATAGCCTTCCTTTTCTATATATTATCTTCATCAAGAATCAATTCCCATGGTTGAGTTTCTTTTTTTCTTTTAACTACTGTCCCATTTGCATGTGCTAACAAGTTGGAGGAGTGGCAATTTGTTGGGTAGTAACCTCCACTCTAACAATCAACTTGTCATTACTACTCCCAACCACATTCTCCTTCTCTGCAGAAACTATTCCCATAGTTTTCATAAACTAGAATGTACAGCTATGAATTTAATTTGAAAAAACAATTCCTAATGGAAGAGTGTAAGTCAAATCTCTAGTCTTTCAATAGTTTCATGCAGCCAGCTTCTTTTTGTACTGTTTAGTTTTTTCCCCATGGAGAGAAGTTTGTGGATGATAATGTCTCTAGTGTCCCCAACTGGACTGGTGAGAAAAGTATTCATGTTGGAACATTCACTTTACATGCTAAGTGACATATGTGATTGAATGCATAAAAGAAATGAAAATTAAATTTAATTAAATATTAAAAAATAATTAGAAGCATTCAGTTCTATCAAACTGAAGCCACCAGAGCATGTATATTGGTACAGTAGGAAAGAGCCAATGGCCAAAAGTCAAAAGACCCAATTTCCAATCACACACCAACCACCTAGGAAAAATCATAACCCACCTCACCCTCAATTTCCTCTTTCATAAATTAAAAATAACAATCAATCTTATCTCAGCAGCTTATTCCACAGATTTTAAAATCATTATATCACAAATAATATTATATGATTATAAAACATGTGTGAATATATATAAAAATGTTTTGAACAGCAGTGTCATAGCCTATGGATAGATATAAAATAATTTTATAGCATGTATTAAAATCCTCAATTGAATACTTCACCACACAACCTGTTAATACCAAATTCTATGCACAGCACATGCAAGGAAAAAAATTTTAATTAAGAAACAGAACCTAGCTCAGGAATATATATGCAGTCTAATTCAGAATTTTTACAAGCGTCATTCTCTAATCTGAATTTATATTATTCGTTTGTTTCTTTTAAACTGGCAGACAGCATGAGCACTGGTCAGAGAGAGACAGACAGAAAGAGGGAGAGAAAGAGATGGAGAAATCAACCCCCAAGGAGGCTTGGTTACACCACAGTCCTTTCTCCTCCAGTCTTCCTTCCCGTCAGGATTTTGGACAGCTATGTGCCCAGTTTGTTTTTTCAGGCCACCCACTGGGACCAGGATTTCAACTGTTGTTGGCCATGTAGGCTGCAGCTCCCTTTTTATAACATCTATACTATGCCTTTTTGGTCAGTCAGAACTTAGTATAAAGTTCTTGCACATATCTTGTGCTAAGAATTTGTGCATTATGGTCTACGTATAATCCTTAACTATTATGAGCTGTAAAGTATAAAATAACCCAGAATAATTTCATGATTTCAGATTTTGTTTAAAGTTGGAAATAATAACATCATTAAATGAGGAGATTCTTCATCATTACTCATTTCCACTTCCCGAAGCAAAATATCAATATACTTTCATTCTCCAAATAAATTAAAATACCCCTTTATACACACAAACACACACACCTCCAAAATTGTGCTTCCATGGATTTAACTTTTTATTTGTGGCAACATCTGAACACTATCATATGCTTTTGACTATATTTTCAGTTGCTCAGTTTTCTAAAGGATCCTTATCACATCATTATTCAGGCAGACTCTATGCTATCTTCTGTTCTGAGTAGTTAAAATATGAGTTGTAAAAATCTATCAAAATTTATCTTACACATGACCAAAAATTTTTATTTTAACTATAATTTCATCCAAATCTTGTGAACTTTATGTGCAATCCGAATTAATGCTAAGAAAAATGGACTTCAACAGTTGCTCAACATTCTTCAAAAACTGAAAAAGCGTAATGAAACATAGACTCATCTGAACTCCACCCATTTTTCAATTTCAACATTGCAAACCTCCTGTCTGTTCTTAGGACAAATTCAAAACTGAACATATTGGGATTGGTTATTAGTGAGATAATTTATGCAATCTCTAGCTAAAGGTGCTAAGTTGGCAAAAAGAAAACCATGCAACTAAGCAAACCCTAATACATTTGGGACACACCCTCTCAGTATATAAAGGCTTGCCACTGTCCTTGGTAGTGAGCACTCCCTGGGCTAAACAGCATCACGATGTCTGTTCGGTACAGCTCAAGCAAGCAACACTCTTCCTCCCGCAGTGGAGGAGGAGGAGGTTCATCCCTCAGAATATCGAGCAGCAAAAGCTCCCATAGTGGAGGATTTAGCTCAGGAGGGTTCAGTTCTGGTTCTTTCAGTCGTGGGAGCTCTTCAAGAGGTTGCTTTGGAGGCTCCTCAGGTGGCTATGGAGGAGGATTAGGAGGAGGTAGCTTTGGTGGAGGCTATGGAAGCAGCTTTGGTGGGGGCTATGGAGGAAGCAGCTTTGGAGGCGGCAGCTTTGGAAGTTGTGGCTTGGGTGGGGGCAGCTTTGGTGGTGGTGGCTTTGGTGGAGGTGGCTTTGGTGGGGGCGGCTTTGGTGGGGGCAGCTATGGAGGAGGCTTTGGTGGTGGATTTGGAGGGCATGGTGGTCTTCTTTCTGGAAATGAGAAAGTAACCATGCAGAATCTGAATGACCGCCTGGCAAACTACTTGGACAAAGTTCGGGCTCTCGAAGAATCAAACTATGAGCTGGAAGGTAAAATCAAGGAGTGGTATGAAAAGCATGGCAACTCAGGGCGGCGAGAGCCTCGTGACTACAGCAAATACTACCAAACCATTGAGGATCTAAAAAATAAGGTAAGGGATAGTTTTAAATTCAACTTTAGGCCTATTACTCAACCATGTGATTCAGATGAATGAATCTTAAATGAAGCACAATGCAGCTGTTTTACTGTGTTTGTTTATTTTTCTTTCAAAAGTAATCCAGTCTTATCAAAGACAAATACCTTACATAGCACTCTTCATCCAGGAAGTGTACTGTCTGTATTACAATACAGTTTTAATGAGTGTATAATGAGTTCATGGCTCAAATATGTTAGATCATTTACAAATAAATCAGAAGAAAATATTACTCAGATTGATAAGTAAGCCATATTCAGTACCAACACTGTAAGATACATGAATTCTCCAATATGGAAATGGGATATTGACTGCCTCTAAGGGATTTGTGAATTGCATCCACTGTGCAGCAATTTCTATTATATTTATTTATAAGTATCTGTAATAAGTTAAATAAATACATTTGTGACTCACTCAAAAGTTTGCTGAGATACATGGAAATCAATAGTATAAAAGAAATGGGTACACTTGCAGGAATATATCTATATAATTTAAGAAAAGATGACACAGGCATAGAAGAGTAAAGAAACTTCAAGAGAAAAAAACTATTCAAATTTAAGAATATGGGTAAGCCTGCAGTATTTCATTTTTAAAATTAAAAATCTACCCAGGATCTTGTAAGATAACATAAAAATGCATTTTATCTAAGCCACTATAAAAGCCATCTCTGCATCTGATCTCTCATTGAATAACTGTGCCTCTTCCTCCAGATCCTCAACCTAACAACTGACAACGCCAATACCCTGCTTCAGATTGACAATGCCAGGCTGGCAGCTGATGACTTCAGGCTGAAGTAAGTTAAGTGAATATGGGACAATACTATCAAATACATCAGTGGATTTTAACAGTGACTATGGATGTTCTCAATAGCATTCACATTTTCTTGAATTCATTCAAAGTGAAACAGTATTGGAGTTGTCTGAGAGATTTTAAATTTCAATATTACCTTTGCTGGCAATATTAAAAGAAGAAAATGTGTTTTAAAGTAATTGCTGGGCAGATGGCCTGATGGTTACATCACTGGACTCCCACATGGCCAACTACAGTTCAAGTCCCAGACACAGCAGCCTGAAACACGCCAGGCACATTGCCTGTGTGCCCAAAATCCCTAGAGGAGACTGGAGAAGGGAAGCAGTGTGGCCATCCCTGGGGTGTGATTTCTCCATTTCTGCCTCTCTGTCTCTCCGGCGAGTGCACACACTCTATAACAAAAATCCCTCTAAGAAAAGTAATAACGATAAAGTGATTGCCAAGCTTATTTACATTAAGCCACTAATATTCCTATTTGATTTAGTATATAACAAATACTGCCATAATATGAAATACTCTGTATTTACTTTTTAAACAGTTTCTGCCCAGGAATATATACATCCCTTACATAAGTTATATCCAGTATATGCATCGTGCTTGTTTCAGGTATGAGAATGAGGTGGCTCTGCGCCAGAGTGTGGAGGCTGACATTAATGGCCTGCGCAGGGTGCTGGATGAGCTGACCCTGACCAAGGCTGACCTGGAAATGCAGATTGAGAGTCTGACTGAAGAGCTGGCCTTCCTGAAGAAGAATCATGAAGAGGTAATGCAAAAATTATACTTCCCCAGCCAAAACATAGTTCATTACTGTAATAGGGCAGCTATTAAAACTTCCTTTTCCTCAAACAGGAAATGAAAGACCTCCAGAACGTGTCTACTGGTGATGTGAATGTGGAAATGAATGCTGCCCCAGGTGTTGATCTGACTCAACTTCTGAATAACATGAGAAACCAATACGAACAACTTGCTGAACAAAACCGCAAAGATGCCGAAGCCTGGTTCAATGAAAAGGTATATAATTTTTCTCATAGTGAAGTTCATGGAGTTTTTGTTATCGCTTCAGAATTTTCTCATCTTTCACCTATTTTTAATACCCTAGAGCAAGGAACTGACTACAGAAATTGATAGCAACATCGAACAAATGTCCAGCCATAAATCTGAGATCACTGAACTGAGACGCACTGTTCAAGGTCTGGAAATCGAACTACAGTCCCAACTGGCCCTGGTAGGTTAACTCCTCAACTTTATCATACAAAGTTTCATGCTCACATAAGAATATGCAAGGCAAGAGACAAAGGCAGAATTGGGAGTAAAACGTAGAACTAAAACTGAAGCTCTATATAAACAGGAAAAAAGTACTCTTAGCGCTGACCTAAAACAGTGCTGAAATTGAAACGCTGCCATTAAACATAAATTCTAGCCATCTCCCTTATTCTTCTATATGATGTCTTATCAAATTATTAACTCGGGTTCACTATATACAACTGAACAATGAGGTCACTAAAGCACAATAAAATACTCTTTTTTCAGAAACAATCCTTGGAATCCTCCTTGGCAGAAACAGAAGGTCGCTACTGTGCTCAGCTCTCACAAATTCAGGCCCAAATCTCCTCTCTGGAGGAACAGCTGCAACAGATTCGGGCCGAAACCGAGTGTCAGAATGTAGAATACCAACAACTCCTGGACATCAAGATCCGACTGGAGAATGAAATCCAAACCTACCGCAGCCTGCTAGAAGGAGAGGGAAGGTAAGCTTAAATACTGAGAAGTTATTCCAATTGCTTTTATTCAATATTCCAAATGGCAAGGCTCATTCAAACGCCAAGGAAATGCTAGAAGTCGAGAAGGCTGGCGCACGGAAGGGGCAAAATAGAGAAAAAGGCGTATGCCTCAGTCTCACTTTCTCATGAATGTGGCCCAAGAAAGATCCTTAGGGTTGTGTGTATTTACGATTGTTTCGACAAGATGAGTTCAAAGTACATACTTGGCAGGGTTGTATTTCTTCAAAACATGTTTTGTTTATTCCAAAAGTAACGACAATCAGGAGAGCGATAACACCCACCGTGTCCCGACGTGGAGCTAGGCTAATATGTCCCCTCACCCCGTTTAGTTCCGGCGGCGGATCCCACGGAGGCGGGCGCGGAAGTTCCGGTGGCGGCTACGGAGGAAGTTCCGGCGGCGGATACGGCGGCGGCCACGGGAGTGGCCACGGAAGCAGTTCCGGTGGAGGTCACGGGGGCAGTTCCGGCGGCGGCTACGGGGGGGGCCACGGGGGGGGGTCCGGCGGGGGGCACGGGGCGGGGG